ACGACAATTGGCATTATAATTATAGTATGGAAGTGTGTTGTGAGGATGACGGGGCATGGCCTGTTGGGTGTCAAGTAAAGAGGGTGCTTTACTACTATTGGAGAGTTAAGAGAGAAGAAACACATAGCTTTTTGGCTAAAATGTGCTGCATTAAAGCCAGAAAGGGTAAATGAAGGGTTGATGGATGGTTTGGTGAGGTCGGAGGAAATATTTTAAATGGGATTTCTTCATCCTTAGGCTAGGTAACTTGTAAGCTTATCATGTTTTGTAAGCTTATCATGTTAAACATGATCATGCTAATAGTTGTAACTGATTCGTCATCTAATTGAAGCGATTCTGCTTTTATAATGAAAATGATTATAAATCTTTCCCATGAATATGAATAGGCTATCCTTCCATGTAGCGATGGCATAAACATGTGACAGAAGAGGATCATTGGAACCATAACACCATGATGATGATACTCGTTAGATTAATGACTACTACGTAGTCATTCCTAGTGAGAAAATTAAAATTTAAATAGATAATTATCTTATTTATAGTTTTATAAGCAAGTTATAGAACTTAAATTTTACATGCTAACATGAATCAAGACAAATAATGTTAATCCAAATCTTGGTATATAGACCATGAATTCTATTCTAAATTTCAGGTTATGGAAAACAAACAGGATGGTATAATATTGTGATTAAGCAACCTTAGTCCAACATTGGATTACATGTAAATGGTATGGTGATGATGCGATAAGAGCACATTTATTCTACTGGATATCATGTGAATATTAGGGATGAAAATATTACATCAAAAAATATTAAATATGATTTTAAAGAGGAGTGGCCCATCGGATAAAATAATGAGGCATATTAAAAACATTTAAAATACAAACTGAAGTTAGCTCTCAAGTAGATGCAGAAGTTAAAATTTCAGATCCACAAGAGATAATTATTGGTAATTGGGCAGTTATGGATAATTTTACATTAAATAAATATTTTCAGTACAATTATAAACATTAAGAAAATGACAAATGATCACTGAAGAATCCTTTTGAGTTATATATTTAAGATCAAAGGAGATGTTGAAGCGAATGGTAATTAAAGAGAAAACAAAATTATGAGTCTTACAATAGGTTATTGGAGGGACTAATAAAACAAAGATTTAGAAAAATTGCATAGAGACTAAAAAATCAATTATATTTCATGGATGAAAGATCCACTATAAGAATAAGTGTTGCATTACAATTATTAATGGAAGACTATAGAGAACAAGGATGTTAATATGATTTTTAAGGTCAATTGACTTACTAACTACGGGTATAGTAAAGCTTGGACTAGCATTAGAGTACTTGTGGAGGGCCCTAAGAATTATCAACTATAATATGTTCACAAATACTCAATGTGAGGTGCCTTAGTATATACAATTCGCCTATTACAGTTAAAATCGATTAGATGTTTACTAAATAAGTAAAACTTCAGAACAATAGATAAAATGTCTAGAAGACTGATGGATTAAGCATTATAAAAGAAGTCTAAATCTATGATATATAATTTTAATAAATATGGAATTAGTAATTATCTATCAATACTGTGACTAGATAAAATTATGTTGAGGTGTGATGATGGTTATAAGTTTTTCATCTATCATATAAAACAATGAGGACATAAATAATTACATAACTATTGATTTAAATGAAGTGTCTCGAGAGTACTAAGCAATAATAATTGACACGAAGACATAAAATTAAATTATATAAAACTACAAATAGATTAAATAGTTCAAGTGTTGGGTCGCACGAAGACATTGAAAGTTGAGTTCAAAGTGAAAGAAATGAGAAAGATGAAATGGATGTGAAGCAAAACACGGAAAAATAGATTAAAAAATGCTTAAATTGGAGTAATAATAGTAGGATTGTAAGTGTGTTAACTATAAATGAGTTGGGGGCCATGTATGGCAATACTCAGAAGAAAAGGTTAAAGAATGCTTATATTAGAGGAAAAATAGTAAGGCACTTAGTGAGTTGAATATGAATGAGATGGGGGCCCTTGTTTGGCTTCATTAGATTTATTTTCTTGTTCTATTACCTATCAAGTTAAACACAAATGAGCTAAAGTTTGCCAACTTAAGAGTTTTGTTCATGCTCGGCACATGTTTAGCTCAATCAAATCAATGTGTTGAACATGAACAAGTCTATGATCACTGCATTAATTGTTTAAAAAGGGCGTGTGACTTTCATAATATCTTGAAACAGGTTGTTTATAAACATCAGACCTTCTTGAACCCCTAAAGGATTGGAGTTGCATCTGTTGAAGATGATATAGTGAAGAAAAATTTAGTGGGTTTGTAAATATATAATATATAGCAAAAATTTACATCCATAAGATGAGTAGATAAAACTACTATCGAATGATTAAAAAGTAAAAGGAGAAAATAAAGCATATCATGGATAAAAGTAATAGGAAAAGTTTTGTGTAGATTTAACACACTTCGGCATCATTTAATAGGATTCAATGAAGAATAGGGTTCATAAATCGACCTCAAATAGCTGGAATAAGGTTGATGATCATCATCATTATCATAATAATAATAAATAATAAAATGAGTATATGGAAGGGAATAATGAAATATAATGTAAATCACATAAATATGAGAGAATGAATTTGATTTAACACCTTGTGCATCACTAAGGAATAAATAGAATTCATAAAGCCAACCCAAATATTGAATAGAGTTGATGATGATGAACATAATGAGTAGAAGATGAATTTATTGGAGAGGTTAATGGAACCTTAACCTAGAAATCACATCAACGTTTGAGAATCAATTTGATTTTAGAATATGAAGATCCACTACAAAGATATATTTTATACTCAAATAATTAAAACATGCAAAAATCTATTTAGCCTTATTCAAATCACTATTATTTATTTTAGAAGTCAAATGATTTGAGTTCCACAATATTCAATTTAGTGTGCATTGGGAAAGAG